GCTCGGTTTAATCCCTCTCAGCAGGAAACTGGAAAGGCCTTCTGAGGTCTCGCTAGGGATCTGGGCTGATTTCAGCATCACCTCTCCTCTAACCCTCAGCCCTGCCTCCCGCCTCCATCCCTTAGCGCAGCAAGGACTCCTCTCCCCGGCAAGCCCCCACGGGCACAGACGCATTTGTTCTGGTCCTGTGTTTTGCTTCACTCCACCCTTGGTGCCTCCATCAAACAGGAAAGGAAGCTCAATTCCAGAACTTCCTTCCCAAGGTGTTGGATTCGGGGGCAAGTGAGAAGGGAAGTGGGGGTGGGGGCGGGGCAAGGAGGAACAGCTGCTCATCTCATTAAGATGTTTTCACCACTGAGCTGGGAGGGGAAGGCATCTGGGAGAGGGTTAGGCGAGAGAGGGCCTCACTGACGAACACTCTGTTACCACTTATTGCAATGGTAGCACATCCTGAGGTCTACTACTTAACAGTAATGACCCGGCACTGCGTGCTTCCTAACATTCAGCAGTAAGACCCAGGCTATCAATGACTTTTTAAAAATTAAAATATAGACAGCTTAAAATGTGTTAGTTTTTAGTGACTTTTTAATCCAGTTTTCCTCTTAACTTTTTCTCAAAGGTATTTTGGTTTATTTGAACTCTGCTGCTTCCGTTTGGCTCTCCCTGGTCCAGCCTGAGAAGTCCTGAGCCCTCTCTCCCACGACTTCCAACACCTCGGTGTTTCCTTAGAAAGATGTGAACCAAGAGGCTGTGGGGAGGTTGGAGAAAATGAGAAACCAAGTCTTCCCCAATCTGGGGGCGATGGCTTCCCTTGTGGAGAAGATGCTATGGTAGTTTTGTTCAATGTCCTCTTTTAATGTAGGGGAGATCCGGGGTGATGGGGGTAATTGGAAATAATTGGTTTACCGGAGTGATAGAGAAGGCACAGGGGAAATGGCTCAGAGTGTTCTTCTCTTCCGTAAGAAATCCAAGATCTCTCAGGAGTGCCCAGCCCGAGCTTGGCCAGAGGGCCTAGAGGTGCTTCAGAGATGTGGTCCCTCAGTAGAGCCTCTTTCCCCTTGGAAGGAAGGAGCAGAGGCTTGAGCCCAGCCCCTGGGGTGCCTGCTAGGCACCCTGGCTAGTTTGCAGAGAGACAGACAGACAGAGATAGAGACAGAGACAGAGACAGAGACTAGAATACTACTCCGCCATAAAAAAGAATGAAATAATGCCATTTGCAGCAACATGGATGG